GCTGGAGGGACTAGTTAGTTCATGCTCCTTTTGTTGAGTATAGGCTGAATCTCTCTAGTCTGGCACCCTTGGGACCTGACCGATGCCGAACCAGAGAATGTGTCGGACTACGGGAAGTCAGTATGGTCTAGCAGAATCCCCAACGCTTCTACTGCTAAAAGACATGGAAGGGTAAATTCGAGCTAAACAACAGCACAGAAGCTGGAGGGACTAGTTAGTTCATGCTCCTTTTGTTGAGTATAGGCTGAATCTCTCTAGTCTGGCACCCTTGGGACCTGACCGATGCCGAACCAGAGAATGTGTCGGACTACGGGAAGTCAGTATGGTCTAGCAGAATCCCCAACGCTTCTACTGCTAAAAGACATGGAAGGGTAAATTCGAGCTAAACAACAGCACAGAAAACAGAGCCAGGATAGAGGGCTGTCAACAAACTTTATGGGTCTGCAGGAAACTTGGCCACACCCATAGTAAGTGGCCACCCGCCTAACGAGAAATCATGCCGGATCACAGATGTCAGAGAGTGCTGGGCTAACAAGGTTCAACCTGCACAATGCTCTTGTATGGTCCCATCCTAACGGAGCTAGGAGACTGAGCTGCTCAGAAGGGCCGGGAAGTGTTTGCCCCGTCTCCAGCTGGGCCTTTTGAATGCCCTTGGCAGTATTTAGTTGCCCACTAGCCTCTCTTCGCTTGTTCTCTTGACATTTTTGCTGAGTTCAACACTGCACTGTTATCAGGATCCCCTTCCTGAGCAGCTGCAGGACCTGGGAAGAGCTCTCTGATGACAGAGTGCAAAAGGAGTCTAATTTCAGCAAGGGACAGAGGGCCACACACAAACATCCTGGCAAAGAAAGCACCAGAGGTTTTGTGTCTTGTAACACTGCAAGCCCAATGGGCTCTCCTGCGTAGCCAAGCAGCTAGAAAGCAAGTTTGAAATTGAATACAGCATGCAGCTAGGATACCACAGTTCCTGTGCTCTCAGTTGAGGTGTGTCCCAGCTCTTTGGAGAGGCTCTCTCATTTTATTGGTTACACTTCTCGTTAAAGATCAAGGGGATTTTTTTTTGCCACGTGCTAAAGCTTTCTGAAGTATAAAAATGACCTCAATATTTCTTCCCCGACAATAAGATTGTTTCCCCTGCCTGTTTAATTGGAGAAATATCAGAATCAATCGTTTTCTTCCCTTTTTTTTTTTTAAACTGGAGTATTAGCTCATCACCTAATAAACTATCTTGTTAGTCTTTGAAGAGCTACATATTTTTTTCCTTTTGGAGTATTAGGGCGAGAGTTCTCAGCACTGGAGACATTTTTAGTTTATGTACATCTAACCCAGAGGCACCGAGACCACTAGGGAGACTGAAATCTGTGCTACAGCCTTAGCTCACGGCCAGCTGGAGCTTAACTCACGTGATAGAGGCTCATGGCTTTAGCCCTGTAAGGTTCCAGGTAAGGATGTTAGGGTACGTCTACACTAGATCATTAGTTCAAGCTAGGTAGGGTAATTAGGGCAAGTGGAGTAGCAAATCAAGCCCAGGATTTAAATATCCCAGGCTTTATTTGCATGTTCTCGGGCGCCGCCATTTTTAAATCCCCCTTTGTCCGAACTCTGTGCCTGTGGCTACACGCGGCATGGAGTAGGTAGTTCGAATTAAAGATCCTAATTCGAACTACCGTTACTCCTCATCGAAGCATTTGCTTATGGGATAGTTTTTTGACTAGTCAGCTAGTCCATAGGCACTTCCACATTCCTCCTTTGAAATGTACAAGAGGCCTTGCTGGGGCTCTTGTACATTTCAAAGGAGGAAAGCGGAACTCCCATTCTTTGAAATGCACAAGAATCCCCAGCAGATCAGTCTGTGGATCAGCTGTTTGGTGGCTGTCCCTTTAAGCCATGCACCCGCATGATTCAAAGGGGACAGCTGTGGGGAGCCTGGGCTCCTAGTGGCATGCAGCGTAGCATGGAACCTGGGGTCAGCAAAGAACTCTGAGTCCCCCGCTGATCCTGGGCTCCATGGCTTTGAAATATACAAGAGCCCCCGCTGGGAATTCTTGTGCATTTCAAAGAAGGCACCTGCGGGCAGCCAGAGTCAGCGGGACTTCCCATTGGCCCCGGGCTGTACGCAGAATTCCTCATTTCTCCTTTGTACAAGAGCCCCCGTTGGGGCTTTTGTACATTTCATTTCAAAGGAGGAATGCGGAAGTGCCTATCGACGGAAATTCCATCGCAGACAATTCATCGCATTTTAACACCCTTAGTTCCAGGTTCAGTCTCACCTGCTGATGACCCATATCCATTAGCATTACATACCATAATACACCCCCCCCATCTCCAGGGATTAGAAATCTCCCATCCTAGTTCTCAAGTGCATGTATGTGTGAGTATAAACTAAATGCATTTTCAGATGGAAGCCAATATGTGGGGTTACTGCGGAATCACCCCTAGAAAGCTCTTCAAGTGTGAACAGAAAATAATGTGTTTGAGTCTCCCCAGCATCTAAACACTGAGTCTCTTGCAGTGTCACTATTCAAGTCCTCCAAGGAGCTCTCCAGCCAGAAAGTCAAAGCCTGATACGTCTAATAATGAAAACCAAATGGGAAAAGAACCGACGTCACATATAATAGAAGCAGAAAAACAGGGCACTTGCTGATACAAAGTAGCTCTAATGTCTAAAGTGCTCTCAAGCCCTGTGCATGAAAAGCAGTCAGTTATTCCATCTGGGTAACCAACGTACACCAGGGCCTGTCTGAACTATGTTTCCTTAAAGCAAACACCGTGCATTTAGTGCAAACTAAGAGGCCTGTATGTTCCGTCTAGGCTTGCTGATAACCCCAGCCAAGCTCATTTGCACCTGCGCCAACAGGGGGCTAATTTTCAAGGGAAAATACTGCAGGGTGGAAACCGTACACAGACAGGAAGACAGTCCCAGCCTCTGTCTAAATGCTGAGAATCTTTTCTGAGACTGGGGCAAAGAAGGAGAAAAGAGAGTGGCTTTAAGGCCAGCAAGGAATCAATCCACGTGAGCAATAGTAGTGACCAGTGAAGGCACAATGAGCGGGGCCATGCTATTGTGAAGCATGGATGCAGGAGTCAGGCTGATTTATTATCTAATCACTAAGTGCATTAAGGAAGAGCATTTCTCCTGCCAGACCAGGCCAGGAAGCTGCAACCCTCTTTGAGGCCCCCTATTTCAGGGCTGCCTCATTACAAATCCAGCACCCTCACCAGGGATGTAAAACCCGTTAATCAGTTAACTGGTTAAATGTTAGCTTGACCGAATGTAATTAACTGACTAAGTGGGATCTGGGCGGAGGGGTGGTTTCCGGTTCCCAGCTCCTATGCATGGACTGGGGTACCTGGGCCTGCCATAGATAGACAGAGGCTGCTCCAGACACCGCAGCAGCCCTGCCTGCGAGGCGCCCAGGCCTGCTGTGGACAGAGGCTGCTCCGGATGCTGGAGCAGCCCTTTCCTGTGGTGGCTCCAGCCCCCACCAGTTAACTTTTCACATCCTTAATCCTCAGTGCTGCGGGATCCAACAGGCAGAAACAAATGAGTGGGAGAGGCCAGCTTCCAGTACCAGAGATCACCAAGGCTTATCACAGGAGAGGGAAAATGCAGGACAATGTAGCACTTTAAAGACTAACAAGATGGTTTATTAGATGATGAGCTTTCGTGGGCCAGACCCACTTCCTCAGATCAAATAGTGGAAGAAAGTAGTCACAACCATATATACCAAAGGATACAATTAAAAAAAAGAACAAATATGAAAAGGACAAATCACATTGCAGAACAGAAGGAGGAGGCGGGGGGGTGGGAAGGGGGAGGAAGGAAGGTAAGTGTCTGTGAATTGATGATATTAGAGGTAGGGAGAGTGGGATGTTTGTGAGTTAATGGTATTACAGGTGATAATTGGGGAAACTGTCTTGATAATGGGTGAGAAAGTTCAAAGACTTGTTAAGTCCCTGGTGGTAAGTGTCGAATTTTAACATGAATGACAGTTCAGAGGATTCCCTTTCAAGTGCAGAGAGGGGGCATGACAGGCAAGCAGACTTGCACTCAAAGGAAATCCAATAGCTGCAGGAGTTTTCTCTAGTGTGATGACGCCTGAGGCAAGACCCATTCCCTGGCTTCCTATGTTTGTGCTGACACTTTCCACAAGTGCAAGGATTTTGCTGCGTTATACAAACATCAACCCTCCCTCTCCTCTTCTCAGTAGGGCAGGATCACCAGGGGAAACGTGAGGCACAGAGAAGGGAACCGAGCTGCTCGAGGTCAAGCAGCAAATCGGTGGCGGAGCTGGGGATAAGAATCCTGGAGTCCTGACTTGCATCCTGTGCCAGAAAACCGCCCCCGGAGCAGTGGTTCAGCCCTAGCAAACATGATGCTAAAAAAACAAGCCCACCAGCCAGCTGCTTCAGTGCAAATAAGGCTCACTGCAGATCATCTCGCTTGTGGCTTCCAGAAGACACAGGCCAGCGGGTTGGCTCTGGAACCAAGCCCCCGGTTAGAACAGCCGCGTGGTGATAAATACGAGCTGGCCGCATTTCCTACCTTGTCGGGGATGAGTCCGTGATAGAGGATGCTGTGCATGTCCCTGCACAGTCGCTCTAAGCCTCCATACTTAGACCAGACGTTTGGGTTGTTGCTGGAGACCAACCCCTCGACTGTGGTCTTCAAGTTGCCCAGCAGTTTCCAATGCTCCTTCCTGCACATGCAAAAGAACACACGGTCCCAGTCAGTTCCCCACAAACCTATCAGCCGGGCGGCGATCCCAGTTTAATGGCCCGACCACACAACTCACCACTGGCCACGGGGGCTCTGGTGCAAGCAAAGTCTTTGAGTGGGAGCTTTAGAAGCCAGCAGGGCCTGGGCCTCCATACACACACCGCTGAGCTCTAGGTCCCCGGCCCAAGGCTTAGAAGTTGACTAGAGCAGCAGTTTTCAAATTTTACACCCCCTTCCCCATGGCCCAGCTGAAGAAAATTGTTGGCGCTCGTAGCCCAACATGATTACCGTAATTTAGAGAACATTACCCACGGGACGCAATTCCGGGATGCACCCCCCGCCTCTCCCGCTCCGCATGGGCTATCGTCGTGCGTGGGTTATATGGTGGTGTGTGTGTGGTGGGTTGTGTGTGTGGTTTTTTGTTTTTACACAGAAATGGAAGAGGATCCCCCCCCCCCTTCACTACCTTTATCGGGCTGGGTACAGAACAACGCGGGGAAACTTACAGAAGCCCCAGCAGCAGGGAACACTCCGGAGCTGGGGCAGAGACATGCCCAGCAGAGGTGGGAGGCTCCCAGCCCGGGGTGACAAAGGGAAGGAGCCTGGAGCAAGTTGCAGGCGAGGGGCTTGGCAGCCAGCAGCAGCGGCGGGGCTCTGCAGGCTATACAAGGGGTTTTTTTATACGGAAAGGAAGACAATGTGGACTGTTCCATGAGGAAAGCAGCATATTTTAATTTAATCATAGAGACTGTTACGTTCCAATGCATTCACATTCTTTAGAAGACATCGTAATACATTCAGACACATTTTAAAACGTTACTTTATTGTGCAACTAGTAAAAGAATAAAAACACTGTAAAAAAGGAAGGCTTTGCATTCTCATTCACTCGGATCTCTAGAGTCAGCGCCAGCAACATCCTCCTCAACAGCTGTGTTGTCAAAGCCATCAAAACTCATCATAGTCAGTGTCTTGAAAAACATCCATAATATCCATAGCCAGGGCGAGATCAGCTTCGGTGACATCTGAGGTTTGTGTTTCTGAATCAGAATCACTATCGTACTCTGAGCTTGAAGAGTCATTTTCGGGTAGAATGTCACACTTCCGGAATTTCACTCTGTTCCAAGCTGTTGCTATTGTCCTTTACAAAAGCCACTACACACAATTTAAAATCGTCAGTGTATGACTTGCGCTTAGGCATTTCTAAAAGCTTTAAAAAGTTTGAAAAGCTTAAAAAGGGTAACGGTTTTCTTACTGCTTGGCGTTATCAGCTGTGGCTCATTAACAGCTGATTACAGGGGCTTCCATTACCATCAACCGCTTTGGCTCATTGACAGGTTTTATTCACTGAGTCTCTCCTGCAGGCTACAGTCGTGCACGGGGTATACAAGGATTTTTAAACTCAAAAGGGAAAAAACTGTGGGGTATACTCGGGTGCGGGGTTTATCCGCTAAATTACGGTATATCTTTTGACTAGAGTGTGGGGCTTCGGGGGGCAGGAATGAAGGGTCCGGAGTGCAGGAGGGGCTTATGGGTCGAGGGGGGCCTTTGCTGGTGGTTGGGCCTGGGCTCACCTCCCATGCTCCTGGTTAGCAGCGCCGTAGGGGTGCTCCTGGCCCCGTGGCCCATGCTGTGCCCCGGAAGTCGTCTGGCTCCTAGGCAGAGGTGCACAAGCAGTCTGCACACTGCTCTCACCCGCAGGCACGGATTCTGCTCCTCCCAATGCACACTGGCCAGGAATTGGTCAATGGGAGCATGGAATCAGCGCTCAGGGTGGGGGCAGGGCATGGACCCCCATGGCTCCTCTGCCTAGGAACCGGACCAGCTGTTGGCCACTTACGGGATGCAGTGTGGCTCAGAGTGCCAGGACAGGCAGGAAGCGCCCCCCACTAGTCACTGGGTGCCCCTACAGCAAGGTGACCCAGTGCCTGACATGGTACGACCCATAGTTTGAAAACCACAGCACTAGTGTATGGACTGCTCCGCTCATGAGCATGCTAGCCTGGAACTCAAAGCCACTGCAGGCTTCAACGGGACCCACACTAAAGAGCAGCGCATGAGAAAGACGGATGCCAAAGCCGATTCAGTCTCCATCTGTGCCCAGCCACACAGGCACACTCCCCACCTCAACATGTACAGATCTTAGCCCCGGGTGCAATCCTCAACACAATTGAGTGCTTGGGGAAGACAAGTGATAGAAATGTAGCCGTGTTAGTCTGGTGTAGCTGAAGCAAAATGCAGGACTATGTAGCACTTTAAAGACTAACAAGATGGTTTATTAGATGATGAGCTTTCGTGGGCCAGACCCACTTCCTCAGATCAAATAGTGGAAGCTTCTTCTGCACAGAAATACCACCCGCGAGAGGTGCTGAAGATGGTCTCTGCTGATCATTCAAAGGATATGCAAGTGTTATGGGCCTTTCTTAATGCAACTCAAGGATCAGGCGACTACAACATATATTATGCAGTTAAACAGAAGATGGGTAGAGTAAGTCCCGCTCTACTGTAAGGACAATATCAAGAGGCTCTGTATGGAGTCCAAGTGGAGATTTAAAAAAAAAATTTTTGCTGTCCAGGTCAATATAAGCCACATGGCCTGGGTAACTTACTACTTCTCCAATGCTTCTCACAACCACTGAGACCTTTATCACCCCATGGAAGGCAAGAAATCATCACTACCCACCACCACCACTACCCTCGTTTTACCATGAGGAAATCACAGAATCCTAGAATACCAGAACTGGAAGGTGTTACATGAAAGTCATATGTGGGGCCTGCAACTTAGCAGGCCTGGGATGGAAGTTTCCATCCCTGCTGTGCCCAGCTCAGCACAGCCTGGGCTTTATCAGCTCTAACCCCTGCCTTGAGCTGGGAAACTACCAAGCAGTAAACAAGTTTGACCTTGGTCTCAGCCCATAAGCATGATAAGAATGGCGTTGAGCCAGGTACGTGCACACCCAGTAAACAGCTAGAGTATAAAACCTGCCGGGGGTCCTTCTGAGACCTTTTCCCTCGGAAGGTGCCCTGGGTCCCCCAGCTGGAGCCACGTCCACTGCGGCCTGGTGTGAGGTGACCGGAACTGAACTCCCCACAGACCTGAAGGTTGCTCATTTATATGCATTGCTTTATGCTAATTATTTGGATTCATTTGCAGTAGTTGTGCATTTGCCAGTATTAAGCCAGTAATGGTAGTGATGTAGTGAGATTGGTATTCTGTAGCAGCGGTGTAATCATTTGGCAGTATTGAGTTTGTCTTTGCAGTGAAATTAATAAAAGCAACTATCTCTCCCGAATCGACTCGGTCTTGAAGCAAATCCACAGCCCTGTTAGGTAGACACAATGCCCCTGTAACTTGACAGAAGGAACCTCAAATGGTCATGAAGTCCAGTCCTCTGCCCTCACAGCAGGACCGAGCACTGTCTAGATCATGGGTTCCCAAACTGGGGGGCATGAAGAATTCCCAAGTTTTGCTGCCCTGTTCAGTTCTTGCTTTGCTGCTATTTGGGGGGTGAGGGTTTTTCAAAAATCAAAAAGGGGGGCATGATGCCAAAATGTTTGGGAACCACTGGTCTAGACCATCCCTGACAGGTGTCTGTCTAAGCTGCTCTTACATATCTCCAGTGATGGAGATTCCACAATCCCCCTAAGCAATTTATTCCAGTACTGGACATTAGGAAAAACTTCCTATCCATCAACCTAAACCTCCCTTGTTGCAATTTAAGCCCATTGCTTCTTGCCCTATCCTAAGAGGCCAAGAAGAACAATTTTTCCCCCTTTTCCTTTTAACACCTTTTTAGGCCACATGAAAGCTGCTATCATGTCCCCCTTCAGTCTTCTCTTTTCTAAGCTAAACAAGCACAATTCTTCCAGTCTTCCCTCATAGCTCACATTTGATCATTTTTGCTGCTCTTCTCTGGACCTTCTCCAATTTCTCCACATCTTTCTTGAAATGTGGTGCCCAGAACTGGACACAATACTCTGAGGCCTAATCAGCGCAGAGTAGAGCAAAAGAATGACTTCTCGTGTCTTGCTCACAACACTCCTGTTAATGCCACCCCCAATCACGTTTGCTTTTTTTTTTTTTTTTTTTTTGCGCAAGTGTCACACTGTTGACTCACATTTAGCTTGTGGTCCACTCTGACCCCTAGATCCGTTTCTGCAGTGCTCCTTCCTAGACAGCCACTTCCCATTCTGTGTGTGTGAAATGGATTGTTCCTTCCTAAGTGGAGCACTTTGCATTTGTCCTTATTAAACTTCATCCTATTTACCTCAGACCATTTCTCTAGTTTGTCCAGATCATTTTGAATGATGACCCTATCTCCAAAGCACTTGCAACCCCTCCCAGCACGGTATCATCTGCAAACTTAATAATTGTACTCGCCAATATCTAAATCGTTAATGATGATATTGCACAGAAAAGGTGGTAACAGAAGTTGGCCACAGGCATGCAGGAAGTGAGCAGTAATTTCAGGAATTGTACCCAAGCGGCTGGACTCCTAGATGCTCAACTCTAACCACTAGACAACACTACCTGAGAAATATAAATCCCTACGTAAACAAGACACAAGTGTACTAAGCAATATTTGCTTAATATGTAAAAAAGTGAATAAAACTCAAAGTCTCAATCAGTTCACAGTATCAGAGGGGTAGCCGTGTTAGTTTGGATCTGCAAAAGCAGCAAGGAGTCCTGTGGCACCTTACAGACTAACAGATGGATTGGAGCATAAGCTTTTGTGGGCAAAGACCCACTTCGTCAGATGCATGTGAACAATCAGTTCACATTTAGCACTCAAGTTATCTTCTGTAAAAGCAATCTTTCATAGAACTATTCACCACCATAAATGCTGCCAGACAAACCAACACATTTCCACACAGTGCTAGTATGAGAACCTAAAAGTGAAACTGACCAGAACATTAGCCATGAAATGATTATCTATTATTACTGCCCAAGCTAATTAAAATGTAGAAAGTGAAAAAGCAGGATAAATAGTGGAAAATAAATTAGATTTCTAAAACACTTGCATTTGTAATCAACTGAAGCAGTGTTTGCAGCATAGACATGGACACTGATTTTCAAAATGTAAAATAATACTGATATTTGAACCTTCGAAAACAAGCCCCTTTGAAAAAGAGTTTCTCTCAGCCACAAATAAGTCTTTGTTGGAACTATTACATTATTACCTCAGCACTGATTATGTTTACAATGAATCAGCAGATGAGAGAAGCTTTCAGCTCTCTTCCAGGCCTTCTCCGACAACCCCACAATTTTCAGTTGTTTAAATGTCAGTTTAAATTGCTGAGAGGGCCTATTCATTTGCCAAGGGCATCTGATACAGAAAAGAACAGCACACTAACTCAGTGACAGTACTGTAATTCATCAAGAATTAAGGGCAGGACTAGTTGCTTCTCAGAGACATGCGAAATAGCAAGCTCACATAACATTTGAAAGGATGAAGGATGGAGGAGTTCTAGTAAAAACTCCTACTCAAAATTAGTGCTCCAATCATCTGCAAAACCCGTTTCAGAGGATTGTGCCACAAATTCTCCCGTGGGGTTAACAGCCAATCCTAACAATTCTGCAATATTGCTTAATGCAAGCTTCTTTTTTCGCTAGTAGCCACTCAGTAAATGCTGTGAATTACCCACTTCCTCCCTGACTTGATTAGCTTCATTAACACAAGCAACTTCTTCCTTATATATTCCCCCGCTTCTATCACTTCCACTCCAATTCATCTGATGAAGTGGGTTTTATCCACAAAAGCTTATACCCTAAGAAATGTTAGTCTCTAAGGTGCCCTAGGACTCCTCGTCATTTTTGCAGTCGCTCCACAGTTTTTATCAAGCACGACGGACTGCTCATCCCAAGGTGAAACGGTAAACAGGATAAAACGTAGCATGCATGTTAATGCACCCAGAGCCTCTAGAAGTCCTGTTGGTAGCATTCGTGTTTCAGGAGGCAAGCAGATCACGTCTGAGAGGCAGGACGGCAAGATGGGAGAATTGCATGACTCCCCAAAATGCCTTGGAAATTTGTGCAGTGCCCAAGGCAGAACATAAGTCTAGAGTAGCACGATAGTCTGAGCTGGCACAGAAATGCCTAGGCACAAGATATGGTTACAAATCCAGCTATTTGACTGCATGCGTTTTGTTCGAACCCTGACTTTACATTAGGTCCTTACTAAAAAAAACAACCAAGCAGTCTTGTGGCATCTTGGGGTACGTCTATGCTACAGAGGAAGGGCGAAATTGCCACTGTTGATCTTCCAGGATTTGAATTAGTGGGAATAGTGAAGACAGCTAATGAGGACTGAGAGGAGCGCTCGGGAAGTCGAAGTACTTCCTGCAGAGTACACAGTGCCAAAAGTTGAGTTAAGCTACTTCGACTTCAGCTACGCAATTAACGTAGCTGAAGCGGTGTATCTTAATTCGACCTTAGCCCGCAGCGTAGACATACCATTAGAGACTAAGAAATATATTATATCATGCGCTTGCGGGGGGGAAACTCACTGAGTTGCAAACAGTTTA